ATGTTTTCAGCGCTGTTTGTACCACTCACGTGGTAGCTAAGCTCTGAAATGAGGTCATCATTGGAAGTGGAGTTTAAAAACATATTAAGAATCTTTCTACAGCAGTAAAGAGCGGTGAACTCTTGTGTAGAAACATCCTTATAAAAAGAGAATCCCTTGTCCTTAATTTCTATACCCACACTAGTAATTCATTTGATAAGTGCTATAGATTGGCGTTGTTATCAGTGCACATTTTCAGAGACTGCCCTTATTTCCTGTTTCCTGCAGTGTTTCATGTGGTCATATCCAGGCTTGGGCCCTGGTGCAGGGCACAAAGGCTTTGCAGATAGGTTATACACACAGCTGAGCCCCACAGGTGTAAGCATCCTTTGTGTTGTGTCTCGGGAATCTGTGACTGCGAGCTGTAGTGCCAGACTTCTGTTTGGGCTGGCACTGAGAAGACCAGAATAAGCAAGCACTTCCTTACCTGACAAGCCTACGCGTGGAGGTTTGTTTTTTTGTCATTGGCTTATTTGACTTTTTCTTATGTTGTAAATATGTAGGTGTGTGAAAAAGTTTTTATCCTGGGTGGGGGCAAGTTTGGAATAGACTTGATGTTTTACTTCTTGGTACTGCTTAAGATGTGCACATCTCCCCTAGAATAAAGGCAGTGGAAGGCAGAGTGCTAGGAAAGTTAGGGAAGTCGGAAGAAACTTGCAAAGAGATCTGGATGGTCAGAGGAATTTCTGTCCTTACTGTGGTTCTAGAACTGGAAAATCAGTGTTGTCTTTGGAAATGGCACACTTGTGGAACAAAATAAATGTTAACTTCTAGAATCAGATTGCCAGAAAACAGCTCAGCATTTTTTTTTCTTTTTTTTTGGTACCAGAGATCGAACTTGGGTTCTTTCCCTTGCAAGGCAGGTAGTGAAACCCCTGAGCTAAATCCCCGGCCCCAGGTCAGCACTTTTAAAGTAAATAGTTTCAATATTTCTTCCTTTTCTAGATCTTAAGAGTGTCCTTTATAAGAATTCCCGACATTTTGGAGAGAATCACAAGCCATAGCTTTGTAGATTAAAGAGACTTTAGAGTTAATGATGGAGTTGAAGACAAGTTGACTGCTTGCAAAAGGCAAAGTCTTGTGAAAACACGGAGGCAGGTGTCGTGGTCTTCTGTAGGTGTTACCCGGTGATACATTTTCCTAAACAGAGTCAAGAGAGTACTTGATGTTGATTTTTTTTGCCCCCTAGGAATTATATTTTGTTTCATACACTCTAATATTTTTGTAGTTTGGCAGCAGGGGGCTTGGAATCAGAGTTCAGATGCCAGTGTTACCATTTTTAAACTGGAACCTTGGGCTGGATGTTTCAGTTCTAAGCTTTTCTCATTTGTAACGTTGGGAACAATGCTTAAGCCTAAATGTCGTTGAGACTCTACAAGGGGTGATCAAAAATATGGTGTTTAAATTTTTAAAAGTATAATAATAAAACACACGTTACTGTTAATCCTTCTCAAAATACCCACTTCGCTTCGTAAACACTCATCCCATTCTTTCTTGCCACTTTGCGAAGCAGTTATGGAAGTCCTCTTCCAGGAGTGTCTTTCGGAGGTGTGATAAAAATGTAAGGAATGCGGCTGGAGAATGCTCTGGAGTGGAGAGGCAGGTTTGTTAACAGTGTGTCTGCTCACTCCCCTGTCTGCACCAGATCTGGTACCATGTGACTTTAGCTCTTCTCTCCAGTCCAAACAGCCATGAAATGTAGATGTTTTGAATGTGTTCAGGACCTGAAGGTAGCCAACACCCGCACAACTAAAGACACCCATTAAAAAAGGACTTTCCGGGCCCAGGGTTTGGGTTTGGCTCAGTGGTTCCTCTGCCTGCCTTGCAAATGCAAGGGCCCCAAATTTCGATCCCTGGTACCAAAAAAATAAAAATAAAAAATACAAGAAAATATAGCACTTCCGAACTGATTGAGAATGTGGCAAGAAAAATGGGATGGTTGTGTCTGGAGCAAGAGGGAATTTTCTGAGGGGAATTGATGGTAATCTGTCTTTAATCATAATAATTTTTAAGATTCTAAACACACTGTATTTTTTAAAATCAAACCTTGTACAAGTGCTTCCCAGAAAGCCTGGCACCCAGTAGGCATTTATTAAAGGTTAAATGTGTTAAATGCTGTAGGAAGTAATTTAAATCTAAAATTTCAGTACTAAAGTACAGAAATGAAGACGTAAAAACAGTTGTTAGGTTCTAGATAATGGATATTTTGGAAACGTGCTCCATTTGATCCTTTGCTTACATATCTTTCCAGGAGCCTTTAGAAAAACTTGGCTCAGGGTGGAATTGGGGGAAATAATGAAGGCCTTAAGAAGTGAGTGGTCCTCTGAAAAGGGTGGTTAACCAGAAAAATGAGGGTGTGAATTACATGTATCCCTCCGTGCTGTAGGTGATTCTGTCCCAGATACATACGGTCTAGTCTGGTTGCTGTGTTCGAAGTGCTGAACTGGAGAACTAAAAAGCACCATCTTGATTAAGCCCTGTCGGAACTTGAGCTATAGGTGTGAAGGCTGTCATGATCCACGTGAGAAAGTGAGGTGCATCATGTTAAGGAGTAGATCTTACCTCTGCAGCCGGTGAGACCTTGAAGCCAGAGTAGCACTGTCTCTGGCAATCACCTGGGACTCACTCAGTACCTGACCCAGTCTGGTGGGAGCTCAGCGCTTTTGATGCCTGTCCCATGTGGACTTCATCCAGGCCGTGTTGGCTTATTAGAATCTTTAAACCATGGTGTGCCTGACTCGGAGGACACTGAGAGCCCGAGGAATGGTGTACACGGTGGCCGTTTTTCTGAAATACTTCTTCTAGTGATTTGATGGTGACTTTGGTCCTTTCGAGATAGGCGTGGAGTGACTATGCAAATCAGTGTTTCCCTATCTTGGCTACATGAGGGAATGGCCTGGGAGCTTGAAAATGTAAACCAAGGGAAAGAAAACAACATGAAGCCCTGTCCCCTCTCTAGTGGCTGCTGTCTTCTGGAAACTGAGCAAGTTTGAGCCCCACCCGCCCTGGAATCTATACTGAAGCATCAGGATGGCCTCACAGTGCTGCAGCCCACATGGCGAGGTATTCTAGTTCCACAGCTGGGGCTGCCACACACCTCCCTCCCACACCTTCAGGACAACCCCTGACACACTGTCGAGGAGGAAGAAGTGAATGAAAAAGCCCTTGGAGTGCTTGTGCCATTCTGATCAGTCTGACCTTCCAGGAAGCCTGCTTGGTACGCAGTTCCAGCTCCTGGGATCTCACTTTTCCATGGCTTGTCTATGCTTTGGATATCCTGGCTGTGTGTTTTACTTGCTTTCCTCTTCTGGTAACATCTCTGAGACACCAGCCACATGTGCAGAATCGAGCACGTTATGTCCAGTAGCAGTTCCAAACAGTGGTCCCCAGAGCTGATACTTTTCAGTGGAATTTCTCTCTGCTTTTGTCCCCTTAATTGCCCTTCTGCTCTCACCACTCTGCAACTTTCTTTAACTTGAACAAGGAGATGCAGCAGTAAATCCAGCTGTGGACAGTCGTCTAGGCAGTGGAAGAATTTTAAGGCCGATAAGTAGTTTGGCTATTTGCAAGAGTGTCCTGTTGGAACACAGCTTCTGTGGAAATATGGTGTTAGCAGGTTACCAGTTGGAGCAGTAAATTAGATTTTCCCTAGCAAATATTTGTCCACAGTAATCCAAGTCATTTTTAAATTCCTTATACACATGAGGGGGCAGTATGGTACTGTACAGCCAGTGCTCTGGTGAAATTGCTTATTTTTATTAATATGTCTAGTTTTTAGGCGAGAACTTCGCAATAAAAGCTCCAATATCGCTCTTAATTTTAAAATAGAATACATGCGTATATGATGCCTTCACTCATGTCACAGGTCGTGAGTGTTTCCTTTAAATAAATGACAGTTTCCTTAGTGTCATGGAATGTTCGTGTGGTACTTTTTATAGGGAGTGTTACATTTATGTTGTGTTTGAAACCGGCTTGCTGGCTTCTTTCTCCACCTGAAGCACATCAGTCTTTTGGAGAAAGTGTCTGTTAGGTTGATGTCTCTAATATATTTTATTTTCTTTGTCTTTATTGAAGACTAAAAGGTCTCCAGTGTTGTGGGAAGGCAGCCTCCGATTTCAGGTCATGGTAGTCATGGAAGATCTGTTACAAATCATCCTAGCATCCATATGGGTTTCCTTTTCTCCAGAGGGGGAAAAGTACGCAAAGAAGCAGCATGATTTAATTAATGTTATTATTACTAATACATGAATGACATTGTAGATAAAACAGGGCGCCAATGTTCTAGGTTTCATAAATGGAGAGGGAAATTATTCAGAGAAGTTGGAAAGTATTAATGAATTGATAAAATCTGTGAAGCATTTTATTAAAAAATGTAAGTACGAATCCAGAAAGGTAATTTCATAAGCACAGGCTATTTTTAAGTGTGTAAAAAATATTTGCAGTCAGATGTTTGTTTATGTACTTAGAAAAAAATAATAAGATCAGCATTTTGGCATAAATATAATCCTCTTGGAAAATTTAATGGGATTCTTCTTATTGACAGTTTATCCTGGCTACTTTCTTTGGGAATAAAGAGCTGTGGTACCATCTATAGCTGGTAAAGATAATTATACTTGTTTAGATTGGGGAAGGCTATTTGAAATAAAATGATTTGATGTTGTTACTTAATTTTAGTGGGAAATTTTGTTTTAAAATCTGTTAAAAATACCATTTTAAGGCATGAGATCCCAATGATAAATGTAACTGGATTGTTCGCTTTAAATGTACCAATAAACTTAATGAAAAAAAAAAAAGTAGACATTTTCTGACTTAGCCCTCAGCTTTGAAGGGATAAGTTTTTGGCTCTGAGTTATCTTGAATGCAATCCAAATCAAATGTTTGATATCGGTTCACCGTAGCAGCATGGAATGCAGGTTTCTGTTCATGGCCAACAACTGATTTTCTTGATCTTTTGGTGGCAGATTTTCCGGACCTCACCTGATACTACATTCCCTGAGCCCATGTGCCTGTCGCCTTCCCCCCCAAATGCTCCACCAAGGCAATCAAAGAGACAAGGACAGAGGATGAAGAGACCTGTGGCTGTGTACAATCTCTGTCTGGAGCTGGAGGATGGTAAGGTGTTAATGATGATTTTCTGCTTGACATCATATTGAGAGTACAGCATATGCAGTAGATCTCCCAGTGAGCTACAGGTCCCTTGTGCTTGATTTCAGCTTCCCTTAAGATTATAATTTTTGAGATTAACAGGGAGGGTGAAGCTTTGTTTGTCATGAAGGAAAATGCAAGTTGGTTTCCTGTTTGTCTTTGTTGTGCATAGTTTGTTTTACTTTTTTTAAGACTGCTTACATTTCTTTTTTGGGAGACTTGTGTGACCTCCTGTGAGGTTATATAACACTGAGACAAATGGAAAAGAAACTAAAGTTAAAGCAGATCTTCTAAGACAGGAGCTGGTCACATCTGCTGTTAAATGTGTGTGTAGGCACAGGTCATTATTGTCAGGTATTAGAGATCTTTCCCAGTGCTCGCTCCACGTGTCTGACTTTCTCACAAAGCAGAACATTCATCACGTGGCAGGGATGACAGACTGACTTCCCTACCAGGACGGGCCACGGTGAGACTGGCACACGGTACTTACCATGTCCCAGGTTACTGCAGTCCAGCTCATTGTTAACATTCAGTCACATGTCTCAGTATTGCCAGTTTCCCACTTTTAGAATAAAGCCCAGAAATTTGAATTTTCAGTGTTGATCCATACAAAACAAAACCGTGATCCTCACAGAGGGACACACTGGTGATTTGTGATCCTGCGGTAACTGCTGTGCAGAATAAGTTGACCTAGCCTCAAAGCCTGCATTTTCCCATGCATATCTGAAACAGACTCTGATGGTGGCTTTTATCATCTTTAGCCCATTACCAAAGCTTGAAATTCACTTTCTTTTTCCTTTTCTTCTTGTCCTCATTTATCTTTAAAAAATATCTTCCATATGTTATCCTTCGACTTAGGAAAGTTATACTGATTTTGGGAGTATGAAATGAAAGAAGAGGATGAGGGGAGAACAAATACAGTACAGTAGACCCACAAGTTAGGACGAGCCTGACACATGAACCATTTGGGTTAATTAGGTTAAAGGAAGCTTCATCTGCCTCTTGTTATCTATATAGCACGTACCCAGGTAAACACCCAGATCTCAGCTATGTAGACTTAGAACCAGCTTGAGTTAACAACCAGCCCTCAGAAACCGATTGAGTTTGTAAGTCAAGGGTCCACTGTGCCTTCATGATAGCAGCTATCCATTGAAATGTCTGTGTACCTAACATCCAAAGAGCCAACTGTCCTGTGGACTTGGGTATCTGTAGGAAGACCCACAACACCCCTGTTGTAAAACTGGGGCCTGAGACCTTCTGGTATAGTCTTTTAGATTGTGTATGACATGTGCACACTTATGAGACGTGCAGTAGTTACACTGTTGGATCCTAATTTTCCTGAGAAAGGCTTCAATCATGAAGATCAACTTCTCATTTCAGAAATTCACCTTAGATGTTGGTTTCTGATCCCAGCTAGCTCTTTTCCCCCCTCTTTTTTCTCACTTTCACTCTTGCTCAACAGAATTACTAATAAGGAGTACAACTGACTGTTTGAATTGCACCTACTTGTGCATCTCACCTGTCCTCGGATAGAAATGTTAATAAATAGCAAAATAAGTAAATGCCAGAAAGTAGAAGGGAAAAAAGAAATTCAGAAGATAGAGAATAATATGGCTGGCCCGTTAGCAAACCATGCTTGACTACATTTCGTGAAAGATATGACCAAAGGTAGACGTTTGCCTTACAGTCACATCTACTTTTCTGGTATTCGTATGAATAGAATCATTGTATCTGATGTAATTTATGGAGGTACTAATCTTTTGATTGCTGGCTTGCTAAATGATTTTTAATAGCTTAGAGGTATCTGTAGCAATCAACACATTTATGAAAAACTCAAGATGGTACACAAGCATAGTTTTCTTCAATTTGGAGAAATACAATGTTTTATTTCCTGGTGCTGGGGATTAAACCTAGGGCCTTGCATATTCTAAGCAAGTGCTCCACTGCTGAGCCGCACCACCCGGTCCTGATAAAATTATTAGGGGAAAAAATCTTTGATTTAAAGGGAAAAAAGACTATTGAATATTCAGGCTGGGGCTGTTAATTATTTTATGACATTTTATGTTACGTATTTTCTATTTAAATATAAAGTATTTCATAGCTGTACATTCATCCTTGATTGGAGTTTTGATTTCTTTCATTTGTTTGTTGATTCATTCATCCATTCATTTATATGTTTGTTCTCAGAATCAGGAAAGCCCACGAGTTTGGTCATGAAAGAGTTGTATTTTGTCTTGGAGGTCATAGCATAGTATAAAATAATTAAAAACTCTTATCTTCCTGTCAATTACTTGTAGATAGGCTTTGGTAAAAACTCAAATTGTGTTGAAAAAGTCATTTCAGAGAGAGAACAAACTAGAATCTGTATTTCATTATAGACTTTGATGTTTTGACAATTCTTGACACAATTAGGAGATATATGGAGAGAGGTAGAGAATATACTTTTGGGGGAAAAAAGCACATAGGAAACAGATACGAAAAAAGGGATTCATGTTTATTCAGTGCCACTTAGCATATTGAGAACTACTTCCTACCCCCAAAATGAGCCTGTATTCTTGTTACTAAAACTTAAATGTATTTTTGTGTTTTAGTAGGCTGAGTCATCTAATTATCAACACTTTAATCTTTGTTGTTGTTGATAGCAGAGTTACTTCCTATGTTTAGTTTTAGTTTAAATAAGCATAGATAATGTTGATCATTTTTCCAAACTTTTCTAGAATATATGAGTCTGGTAGAAAATTTAAATGCAAATAGGTACCCACCCCTCCCCTGTACTCATTATAGTGTAAATTAAATTTGAGTGACTAACATCCAGGATAAATAGTTTTTGCTGGAGAGATTAGGTAGGTTATCTGCCAGGAGTGGAGAAACTGGTTTACAGGACTGGGGATTATCTCTGGTCCTATGATTTGGTCATAGAGCTGGTATTTCAGTGAAGTGGTTTGTGGTATGTTCTTTCTTCTTCGTCGTCAAGTATGAAGCCACGTTGTGTACCAAACAGCCAGCCTTGGAAAACATGGACTTGGTTTCAGTTCAAATGGATCAGGTAGTGAACATGAGCATGGTAGGATAGGCCTTGGAGACCAAAGCCCAGCTGCACCATGAAAGAGAGATCCTTTGATAGTAGACATGACTTTTCTTTTGTTCTGGGGTTCATTCCCAGTAGAAAAGATGACCAGTTTAAACACAAAAGCTCAAAATCTTTATAAAGACTTTAATTGGTATTGGCATATTTAGCCATAGCATGTTTGCTAGTTATTTTTATCTTTATTCAAATTAAATATTAGACTAATGACCTCCAAAAATTTTGCTTATTTGCTTAAAGTTCTTTAGTGATAATTATTGTGAACTACAGTGGTCATAATATTTAGCTAGTTTTCTTAAAGCAGCAAATAAAGTCTATACCAAGATTCTTGTCTTTTATTGTTTTGTACAATCTGTATTATTTCTTGTCATATAGCATTTATTAATTTCATGCTGCATCTTTGTTTTCCTTAGGCCACTTCTAATTTGCTTTCACTAACTGTTAAGTAAAAAGAGGCCATTGTGTTTATTGTAATTGCCCCAAATCCGCACAAGGGAAGTCCATGAATTTATGAGAGATGAAAGCGATCGTGTTATTTTTGTTTAAAGTCACAAAAAATTTTTAAGCAATGGTTTGGGAAGTGGGGGAGGAGGGGATTACCATCTGAGTTTTGATTATGATTCCTTCTATGCTAGCTTTAATTTAAACTGGATTACACTTTGTAGTACTAGTTCTTATATCTCTCTCTGTCTTGATTACTTTTCTCGTTGTAGGTGAAAATACCTGAGAGCCAAAGTTAGAGGACAAAAGGTTTATTTTAGCTCATACTTCTGTAGACGTTTCAGTCCATAGTTGGCTGGCTCCTGGGCAGAGTGGCATGGTAGAGAAGCATCGAAGAGGAGGAACAAACAGTTCATGCTGTGGCAGGCAGAAGACCGTGAGCAGCAGCAGCCTGCCTTCCATTTTTCCATTTCATTCTATTTAAGCTATAAGCCTAATAGTTGGTAGAACCTGCACCCAGGGTAGAGCTTCCTTTAGCTACCCCCAGAACCATGCCAACCCAATTTAGTTATCACACACCCTTAATTCCAGTATCACACACTTAGATTAACCTCCAGAAAGCACTCTCTATGAGCATAGGAGGCTTTGAAGGGCATGACACCTGCCCCCCCCAAGTAGGAACATATCCTGATCAAAGATGTCATATATAGAAGTCCTTTCAGCCTGAACATTGTCAAATTAGAACTTTGGATAATTGCCCAACATTTAAACGTCCCATGTCATTGAAGTTGGTGCTAATGATATAAGTTAGCCCACTGAGGTAGGCTGAGAATTTCTGATTCAAGTTTAAGGCCTGAGGGAAGCAAAGGGAAAACTAGCAAGCAGGTCATGGTATGGTCTTCTACATGTAGATTTTTCTAAGTGTAGATTTTTAATTCTAAAATATGGAATGCTGTCAGCTGTTGGAGTTTTTCTACCTCGAGCATTTGTGAACAGTTTTTATGGTCATGGACACTAACATTGGTGTTGTATCATGTGCATCATCTCAAAGAGTTATTGTAAGTTCCTCATCTTGCCACACAGCAGTCTCTACTTCGGAGGAGTAAGTTTTTAATTTTCATCTGTTTTCCACCTTAGAGTAAAAATTAAAGCAATATGGCAACACAGTTGCAGCAGAGACGTGAGAGCAAGGTGTGGGGTGAGAAGAAAACTGGCCTGATGGAAGAGGTCAGCTTGATAGCCTCTTTAGTGACGGGTGGGCAGATGAGACCAGGACAGGCCCGGAGGGACAGCCCAGGAGTGAATGTGTGGGGAAAGCCGGGTTTGGGGACAGTAGAGTCTCACTTTGCTTAAGGAAACATTGCTTATACTCTCTAAGTCTGTTTTGTTGTCTACAAAGTAGTATCGACTGCTGAGGATAGCTAAGATTATGTAGTGAATG